TGTTCAGTGAGATAAGTTTATCTTTTTTTACTAGTTATAAAAAAAGGTGGAGGTAAACACATGTTTAATGACTATCCTAATAAATTCTCCCCGATGAAATTACGGGATTTTTGAGAGCATCTAGTTAAGTGAGATAAGTTTGTCGAATTTTAATGGTTTATATTAAAAAGTATTTGAAAGATAATTGATTTATTTATTAATTCGTATATAATTAAATTTGTTATATCGAATTTATATCGTATATAAAATATATATAATTAATATATAAATAAATAGTATTGTGTATTTCTTTTAATTGTTTTCATCTATATCTGATTTATTTATTAATTATATCATATTGAAACTACTGGTTTATGAAACGGATGACTTCATCAATACCTAAATCCTTTAATTTTGTATTGTGTATATATCATATTAATGAATCAAATCATATTTTAACACCTCTTAGGCCTAGATATAATTTCCTATCTCCCTTATAATTGCAATTAGGGAAAAAAAAAAGTCCACCAGGCAAGAAATAATAATAAAAAATTTAATACACTTGCAACCCAAGCAACATAAGATAGTATTGGATTAGCTCAGGGGTATAATAGTCGAAACATATCATTTTAATGTTTTTTAAATCACCTTTGTCAATGGACTCCTAGGAGATGTACATTAGTTTATCAAACACTGGCATAGATACATATCCAATCCCAATATGAATTTGGCCGAGTATTGTTTGAATAGACGAATCATATTTTTTTTATCAATAATAATACACAGATCAAATTTTGAGATCAAATTTGAAGTCCAAATGAAGTGAAAGTTGACTTGAATTTCTTTATTTGATGTCATGTCATTTAAGTCTAAATAAAGACTCCAAATAATCAGCTGTCATATCATTTGAGTTCTAAATTTTATCATAAAATTTGATCAACGTAGCATTACTAATTTTTGATATCCTATCCAATTCACTCTGAACATCCAAATACACCCATAGACTTTAAAAAAAGGGACATAGGAATAAATTCCTTGACATTTTCATAAATCTTTTAAAAGGAATCAAGGTACCCAATTAGATCAGACTTAATTGATTTGGAACATTAATTGCTATTGAAACTTAAATTTGATCGGTAACCCCAGTTCAAATTAAAGGCTCTTTCATGTAAGAGTATTTCTAACCATAACTCAAATTTAAACTCAAATTTGAGTAAAAAAATTGATTTGATATAGAGTATTCTAATGGTCAAACTCAAATATCTATTCAAATCTTTTAAAAAATTTCCTTATTATCCCAAACCTCATTTTTTTGTATCATTCAAATCATAATATTTAATAAAATAAATGAAACTTTCATCTTTTCATAAATGGATAATTAAAAAAAAAATGAATATGTATATAAAACTATATGAAAATAAAGAAACCACCGTAGAATTCTAAGAGTATTCTAATCCTTTATTATTTTTTATAAATCCCAATAAAGAAAAAAAAATAGTTAACATGGGTATGGTCTGAAAAACATAAAAACATACTTTTTTTTAACAAAAAAGGAAGATTGAATAGATAAAATGACAAATTTTCTAAATATGTGGGTACCAAAGGCTTAAAATTTTAGGAATAATCGATGGTTTGAAATTGTACTACCGATAGTGTTTAACTCGAAAAAATCAAAGAAAAATTTGATGGGTAAGCTTAAGGTTTATACAATATAAAAGATGAGTGAGATTAGAGTTTTGAAAAATATAAGAAATTAAGAAGATGGAAGATAAAAAACAAAAAACTTACCAACAGGCTTTCAAATAATTTGTGAAAGCTTCAGTGGTAGTCGGCGATGGATGCAGTGTTGTACAGAAAGGCAAGAAGAGATAGAGAACAAGTAGTCAAAGAAGTCTTTTCGTTTTGAATAGGTTAAAAAGTTACCGTTAGAAAATTGATATAGAATTTGAGTCTGCTTTAATTTGGGTCTAAAATAAGTTTTGTCTTGATTTGGTATGAGTTTGAGTCTAAGGTTGGAGAAGTTTTTTAGGTCATTTTGATTTAAATTTTAATTTGAGTCAAGGTTGGAGATGTTCTAATAGAGAAAAATATAACTTTTTAAAGTTACAAATAAAACATTGAAGTGATTTAGAAAATTTATGTTGTGTGCATATGAGTAAAATGATGTATCATTATCCTTTTGAAAAATTGATGATTACGATTGGAGAGTATTGAATATACACAATACTTTTCAGAAATTTTATTTTTAAATTCAAGAAAAAATTTTATTGTGTGGAACATTTTTCAAAGAGTTAGAGTAAAAAATCTTGATTGAGGCGGTAACCAGTATTGACGCATTATGGGGTGTAGGCAAAGACGGAGAGGAATGGAGAGAGAGAGAGAGATAGAGGAATCGGAGAGGTGTGTGAGCACGAGAGCACTGAGTGAGAGAAATGTAGTATCAGATAGTATGAGATAGAGGCTCTTGGTTAATTTTTTGGGTTATGACTCATACTCCTGGTTTGTACCATCAATCAATAATGAGAGGTTTAGTTTATAACAACAATGAGAGGTTTAGTTTATAACAACAAAATTGTTTCACATATGACGCCAAATTGATGGTGTAAAAAACTGTAAAGTACTATGATCGATGAGCTATTAATTAATGGTGATAAATGACCAAATTGAGCAAATAAGATGCAAAGATTAAAGTGATTTGTCCTACTAAAGAATAGGAGTAGTTCAATGTCTAATAGTGGCTCTTGCTCCTAGAGAGTGTATTGTTTAGAAGAAGAAGATACACAATAGCATTCTTTAGGTGCAGTATATTGTTTGAGGAAGAAAAAGATACAGTAGAGGTTTTTTAGAGGCAGTGTATGAACTTACCTATTCTTACACTGTTTCTTGTTTTTGTAACATATTTATCAAAAAATATTTGAGAAATATTTGGTGGCTTCTTGCCCAAAATATGACTTAGGCTTCTAAAAGTGGTGATCTATTGCCCAAAGTAGAGTTTGTTGATAAAATTCTCCCTCTGCCCCTTTCTGGTAGTTTTTATGCCGAAGGTCAGTTTGAAATAGTGTTGGGTGTAATCCTATCCTGGGCAGCCTTCAAATTAGATCGAGGACTATAACAAATGAGTTTACCAATCCATTTTTGTAATCAAATGTAATAGTTTATTTTAGTCTCTAAAAATATTGTTTTATATAGATGCCAATTTCAATACGTAGTCTTATGATATTACAAAATATATATTATATAAAATAATAAAAAATCTAATTATGACCCAAAAACCCGCCCAATGATAAGTTCGTGAGCAAATTTTTTGGATATAGTAAATATATATTCCTAATTATAAAATAATAAAAATATAAAATTTATGTGTGATGTTTTTAGATGAGTACGATACCAAATAAGAAATTTGACATCATACTGAAATTAATCTATAATCATAGATTTTTGCTTAGTTGATGTATAGCTATTAATTATAAAAAGAATAAAATAATATAAAATAATTAAATTTTCCATGTATTTTGATGCCATAGATTCTATAATCCATATTTTTAGGGTAGGGTTATGCCCACTTCTTAAATCTTTTTTCTCACTCCATTTAAATTTTTACTTCAAACTACTAAGATCACCCATTCAATTAAACTATTAAATATATGTAAAAAAAAACTAAAATAAAAATAGTAATTAATGAGAAATTTTAATGTTTCGAGGTGTTTTAAGATATTTTAATATATTTTTATCAATGTCTTTAGAATATTTTGAGGTGTTTTAAGATATTTTGGCGTATTTTGACTAATATTTTAAAAATAATTATTAATTTTTATTCTGATTTTGAAATATTTTTGTACCAAAATAATACACCGAAATAAAATTTTGATCATTGCATATGTAGTAGATTGAAATAAAATTGAATGAATTTAATTTTTAATTAGTGAATATAGACGGTGAGAGTTTAGTAACTAATGAGGTGAGTATAGATTGAGTGAACTTAATAGTTTAAAATAAGATAATTAAATAGGATGAAAAATAAGATTTAAGAGATGAGAGTAGTTCCACCCATATTTTTATTAAACAAAAAATGAGAAATAATATAAATTTATGTCTATACTACTAATATGCATAAAATTTTTTGATTCACTATTATACCCTTATAAATAATTTTAAATATCATATTATCCTTCCATAGTTATCTAAATTACCATAATATTCTTATGTATTTAAATATTCAAATTATCTCTCACATCTCTTTTAATTCTCTATGTATAAATATCAACAATTATAAAACTTTTTAATTGACTGTGTTACTCTTAAAAAATAAGCATTGATTATAATATTGATAATTATTGCCATTTTATTCAATGAATTATAAGTTAAAACATAATCAAATAAATTTTAAAATGAATTATTTTTATATTTATTTCTTAAAGTTAGATCAACAAATCGTTGGGAATAGACAAAATTTTTCAAATCCTATATTATAATACGAACGATAAAAACATAATTTTAATAAACTTGAAATGATATTTAATTTGAGTATATATATATCTAAATTTTTTATTAATATTTTATATACAAAAATTATTTACGTGCAATACACGTGGTGCATTGCTAGTAATGTATATGAGCATCTCTAGCTCCTACTATTTTTTTGTATTCAAATTTCAATTTTAGTAAAAATAGTCTAAAATATTTTTTCAATGCTAAACTCATACCCATACCAAAATGAAGAAAAACCCTATTTTAAATCCAAATCAAGAGAGAGCCAAATCTATATCTAAATTTTTAATGATGAGATTTAATCATCTTTTAAAAATTTAATAGTCATATTCTACCTTCTTGTAAATTTAAGTTTGTCCTTATTTAAATATAAGTTTCTCTTTTTTTAAATTTAAATTTCTTTATTTGGAGGTTTATATCAAATTATATTTTATTTTATTTTTTAACTCAAAATTGGATAAGAGTTAAAATTATTTTTTGGAGATTGTCAAAACACCGAAAAGTTAATTGACCCAAACTATTTGAGTGCTGTCATGAATCATGATCCATCCGAGTCCGAAACTTCGGCTGACGAAACGCCACGTCTGGTCAACAGTCCAACCTTCCTTCTTCATCACCTTCGCTGGTCAGCTGTTTCTATCTAATTATCTGACTCCCTCAAAGCCAGCGAATTATAAACCCTAATTCATATGACAACTCTCATCTTCTCTCTCCAGTCTTTCTAAATCAAGAGCAACGCTGTTTTGTTTCAACCTCCGAAGAACTCCGTCTCACTCAATATGTTTGAGACAGTAATGGAAGACTACGAAAGAAAGCCAATTGAGCTCAGAGCTATCGATTCCTTAGGGTCAGGGTTTGATTTCGCGAGTGATTTCAGATTAAAATTCGCTAAGAAATGCCTTAATGGTGAGAGACTGGTGGTTTTGGATGAGAAAAATAAGAGAGACATTGTGATTCCTGGCGGGGGTGGGGGTGTAATCGAAGGCGTATCAGAGGACATCCGAGTAGATAAAGGGGATCGAATTCGGTTCAAGTCTGACGTTCTCGAATTCAATCAGGTAATCTGTTGTAAACTGATGAGACTTTTCTAAAATACTCTATGATGAAGACACGTGTCCTCGTTTTTACTAAAACACTGTTGCTAAGATCAAGCACCATCGGCGCACGAATGTCCTCGCCCCCGAGGTACCGTCATATAGGATCATACATTCAGTATATTTTACAACCGACACGTGTTCTCGGTCAGATATGTACCTCGGTTGGCATACCTCCCTCGGTCCCCGAGATGAGCCTTTCCTCGGTGCCGAGAGGTACCCCGTCCTGGACGCTTCNATTCAGTATATTTTACAACCGACACGTGGCCTCGGTCTGATATGTACCTCGGTCGGCATACCTCCCTCGGTTCCCGAGATGAGCCTTTCCTCGGTGCCGAGAGGTACCCCGTCCTGGACGCTTCCTCTACTCCAGGATAAGCTATTGACGTACAGGTCATTAGCCTAGGCTAGTCTAGGCTATTCATCATGACCTCGTCTTACACAAGTAATGTCAGAACATACTGGAATACAGAGGTCACAGCCAATAGGGGATGGACGCGTGGCATATGATATCACATCGAAGACAGACAAACCGCATGCCGTTGCTGACACGCGACTTGGGAAAGCAAACAATTAATTGCACCATTCCCTTGATGAGACCGCATTCAATGCGGTAAGGCTCGGAAATGAAAGGCAATAAATGCTCCTATTACAGAGCATTTATTGCATCCTCCCCGAGAGGAGCACATTGTACCGTCGGCATCCCGATGACCCAGCATTGATTGCTCGGGACCCCGAGCAGTTAATTAGAGAAGACATTCCTCATCAGAATCAATGCACACGCTACCTGTGCCTAATGATCACCTACTGACCACACTGACAGCAATCATGAGCTTTTAAGGTATAAATACTCCTTGCAAAAGGCAAAGTGGGTATGCAACAACAAACTCTCTACTACAATACATTCTCAGTGTTTTCTTCTTCCTCTCTCTCTCTCAAAGACTGACTAGATCGACTGAGGGGATACGCCGGAAAACACTCCGGCGCCCTTCTAACTAGTTCTTCTTTGTTCCAGGAACCTTTTTCAGCCTTACTGGATCGTTCTTCCATTCCCAGGATCTCCCATTGCCGTTCTAAGTTACCACCGTACCTTGCAGGCTGTCCCAAGCAGCGCGTTTGGTCACTCAACCGGATCACTCGAGTTCACCAAGGGAAAGACCTGTTCTAGTTTTTTATATTGTGCAGGATCTTGCACGCACAATCTGGCGCCGTCTGTGGGAAACGACTAGTTTTCCTAGTTTTTTCTCTATAAAGAACAGTGACCATGGTGAACACTCGACAGAAAGGGAAAGGACCCCACCAAAGGAGTCTCGAGTTACAAGCTCCCTGTCATCACGGAGGGAGGGATCACACCAACATGAATAAAAGTGCCTCTACTCGGTCAAGAGGGGTTACCCCTCAAACCAGTATGGGGATCAGGTCAGGGGGATCAGCCCCCTTGGCTCGTCAGCTGGCGGAGGTGATTGAAGAAAAATTTGGCGATAGATTACGTCAGCTGGAGAAGGACAATGTAAACGTCCTTAGCCGGCTCGACGAGTTTGCCGCCTCAGGCGGAGGGTCGAGGGATTCATTCCTTTCCCGTGGACTTCCCGCCCGGGAGGCGGAAACGAAGGATCTAAGAAACCACCTAGACCACAAAGCAGAAAGCTCTAGGGCCCCAAAGCGACCCAGAGCCGGCGAACATCATCATGACAACCATTCCAGGAAAGCAAGGCCATTGGCCCTGGACGACCTCCGGCGAGGTTTGTCTAGACGGAGGAAGGGAGATGAATCCGAGGAGGACTCAACCCAATCCACACGACGCCCAGGAAATGAGGGGCTTACCAATGAACTCAGGGACTTCAGAAGGCATCCCGTCAGGGAAGAAGTTGATCTCAGAGCCCGATTAGACTCCAGGAGAAAGGGTAAGACTGTCCAGGATGAGGCCGAGGACGAAGTCATACAAACACCCTTTACGAGGGAAATCAGTGAGATGGAGGTCTCAAGAAAGTTCGTCGTGCCGCGGTTCAAAACCTATGACGGGCGGTCCGACCCCGAAGCCCATATCAGGCAATACAAGCAGATGATGTCCCTCTATCATTCGGACCAACGGTTTCTATGCCGAGTGTTCCCTATGAGCTTGGGGGACTCTGCGATGAAATGGTTCGAGACGCTTCCCCCAAACAGTATTGGGTCCTGGAAGGAATTGACTAGGCAGTTCCTGGCTCGATTCATTACGGGGAGTAAGCGCCCCAAAGACATTGGATCATTGTTGACCCTCAGACGGAGGAAATCCGAGACTCTTCGCCAGTACGCCATCCGATACTGGGAAGAGGTCAATGAGGTAGAAGGCTGCTCGGAGGTCATGGCAGCAGCATCTTTCCGGCTCGGCTTGGCGAGGGACACGGACCTGTACCGATCCCTGACCAAGAAGACTCCCTCGGATATGGGGGAACTGATGGCCCGGATCAACAAGTACTCGAGGGTTGAGGACGAGATGGGAAGCAACAAAGGCCGAGCCCTCCAATCTAAGAGAAAGGAGAAGGAGCGCGAAGATATTCCCCGAAAGGGATTGCTACCCCATCCAGGGGGTTCGTCCAGAGGAGTTCACACTGTTTTCAAGGAACCCATCTTCAAGTTGCTCCATAAAATCAAGCACGAGCCGTTCTTCAAATGGCCGCCCAGGATGCAGGGCGACCCCTCCACCCGTGATCAAAAGGTTAAGTGTTCCTATCACCGGGATTTCGGGCATCGCACCGAAAGCTGTAGGGTGTTCAAATCGTTCTTGGAAAGCTTGGTCCGAGACGGACATTTGAAAGAATACATAGAGCCCAGGCCAGAAGAGAGACGAGCCCTTGCCCCGACCGAGGAACCGGACAACGTCATAGACGTCATTCATATATGTCCCCTGGAGCGCCCCACGTCCAAGGAGCTCGAGTCCGACCTCAAGAGGGTAGCTTTTACAAGGAAGGTAGCCGAGGGTGATGTGGGGCCATCAAGTAAAAGGGCCAGAACGGGTGAGCTTGGCATTACATTCTCCGACGCGGATTTGACAGGCGTGGTGACACCTCATAACGATGCCCTCGTCTTGACCCTGAGGATAGGGAGATTCGATGTCAAGAGGATTTTGATAGACTCAGGAAGCTCCTCGGAGGTGATGTACTTCGAAACTTTGAAACGGATGGGTCTTGGCCCCAAAGACCTCACAAAAGTCAGGACACCCCTCATCGGGTTCAACGGTTCATTCGCCTTGCCCGTGGGGAAAATCACATTGCCAGTCGCCACTGGTCCCTTTATCATTGACACCGAGTTTTTTGTGATCGATACGGACTCTCCCTACAACGTGATTATGGGGCGAACATTGCTGCATGCGTTGGGGGCGGTGCACTCCACTTTCCACCAGAAGTTAAAATTCGCCACGTCGGAGGGTATCATGGAGATCCGGGGAGACCAAGCGTCCGCGAAGAACTGTTTTTATTCAGCCGTTCGAGCCGGGGCGTCCAGCCAGGAGAAGGGGCGAGTACCGGAAGAGATTATGGAAAAATAGCAATTATAGTCCGGGCGTCCAGGAATGGATGACCCCCGGATAGACCCAACTGAACGGTCGGTTGAAGACCTCCGGAGGGTGCCCTTGGTAGAGGGAGAAGAAGAGAGATATTTCTTAGTGGGGACCTCGATGCCTACAGCCGAACAAGAGGAGATGATCGAGTTCTTAAGGGGAAATACAGACGTGTTCGCCTGGAACGAAATGGAAATAACAAGGGTAGACCCCGAGATAATCACTCACAGGCTGCATGTTGACCCGTCGCACAAGCCAGTGAAGCAGAGGCCACGACGCATGGCCCCGCATCACACCAACGCAGTCAACGAGGAAATCGACAAACTCCTGAAGGCCGATGCCATTCGAGAGATACAGTTCCCAGAATGGCTGTCCAATACGGTATGGACAAAGAAGAAAGGGGGGAAATGGTGTGTCTGCGTAGACTTTACAGATCTGAACAAGGCATGTCCCAAGGATGACTATTCCCTGCCAAAGGTGGACCAGNAAGGATATGTGGAGCCAGGGGTGCGAGGACGCCCTGGCTGGGATCAAAGAATACCTAAGGACTCTTCCAACCCTGTCCGTCCCCATCCAGGGGGAGATGCTGTTCCTGTACCTGACAGTTTCTGAGTTTGCTGTAAGCGGGGTACTTATCCGTGAGCATGAGCAACNTGAAGACCTCCGGAGGGTGCCCTTGGTAGAGGGAGAAGAAGAGAGATATTTCTTAGTGGGGACCTCGATGCCTACAGCCGAACAAGAGGAGATGATCGAGTTCTTAAGGGGAAATACAGACGTGTTCGCCTGGAACGAAATGGAAATAACAAGGGTAGACCCCGAGATAATCACTCACAGGCTGCATGTTGACCCGTCGCACAAGCCAGTGAAGCAGAGGCCACGACGCATGGCCCCGCATCACACCAACGCAGTCAACGAGGAAATCGACAAACTCCTGAAGGCCGATGCCATTCGAGAGATACAGTTCCCAGAATGGCTGTCCAATACGGTATGGACAAAGAAGAAAGGGGGGAAATGGTGTGTCTGCGTAGACTTTACAGATCTGAACAAGGCATGTCCCAAGGATGACTATTCCCTGCCAAAGGTGGACCAGCTGGTAGATGCCACAGCCGGATATGAACGAATGGACTTCCTGGATGCCCGAGTAGGATATCATCAGATCCCTCTTTATCCCCCGGATCAGGAAAAGACGACATTTATCACTCCGAAGGGAGTTTATTGTTACAAAGTGATGCCGTTTGGACTAAAGAACACCGGGGTGACATACCAAAGGCTGATGAATCGGATGTTCAAAAAGCAGATCGACAACACCATGGAGGTCTACATAGACGATATACTGGTGAAGAGCAAACGGAGTTGTNGGATCATTGTTGACCCTCAGACGGAGGGAATCCGAGACTCTTCGCCAGTACGCCATCCGATACTGGGAAGAGGTCAATGAGGTAGAAGGCTGCTTGAAGGT